AATGTCTACGATGACGGGGTCTACATGAAGTCCTGTGCTCCAATCGACAGGTTAACACGAGGTAAGGGCAGTTGGCACGATATTTTGGTAATTGGCCTAAAATGCTAGCAGGGCGCCATATAGTGGGAAAATGGCGAAAAAACGAAGTGAAACGGTCAAAAACCTGCGAAGAAAAGCCTTCGTTCTTAATGACTCGAAAAGCAATTTTGGACGAGTTTTCCGTGGACATCTTGCCAATAACCGCTACGGTGGGTACGGCTGCATGTATGTACTCATATATCCATGCAGCACCGCAGCCGCTTCATACAAATCCCGGTCGCGGAATTCCGTCCTGCCAGGCGGTATCAGTCTTACTCTTCTTAGGAATTTATCGTGCCAACTGCCTTCAAAAGAACGCCGCACCTATCGCCGCGCGCGGCGGAGCGGCAAATTACGATTCTCTTGCCCGTCTCCCTATTTTCTAGGTATTGGTTGTTTCGAAAGTTTGTATCCACGTGTTTCTAGCTTTTTGCGTAAATTCCGATCTTCGAATTGGTTTTCAAAACACCTCTTGTATAACAGAGATCATTCAGTTAGTTAAGAGCTAACAAAAATACGCAAAATGAAACCTGAGAAATTTTTCGCGACGTTTGAGGCGCCCTATACACAGTGCGCCTTTACTCAGAATAGTGTAATTCAAATCATTTGCAGTGGTTTTAAATGCCGTTTAAATTAAATTTCAAATGGGTGTTCTGCACCAATATGCTCCATAAAAAACACTAAAAGAATGGCATTGCGAATAATAGGGAGATGCTTGAAGGAAAGATGATTCACACTCACCAGAATCCGTCGCGAAAGCTTCGACAAACGGTAGAAGTCGTTCGAAAGATTTCGGGAACATTTGAACCATGCACTGAAACAGTGAGAGTTTGAGCTTGACCGAGGTCAGAGACGCAGAGGAACCGCCATGATAGATCACGTTTTCACATGATTTGATTTGTGTCAAACAGGTGTTAACGTGTCTGAGATCCCCAAGGTGAGATCAACTGCCGTTTACCCGCTGTCGTGCTGTTTTGCGAATGGTCGTTCTCACTTATACTGTAAATTTTAAAAAATCTGCATAATTCACAAATCGCGGGCAAAAGACTTCCCAGTAACTTCCAAGAGTAAATGTTCGCTTCGTCATGAATCATTAATAATTCAAATTACCAACTGTTCTCTGAGCATCGGCTGTACCTGGACAATTCTGATGAAACCTACAGGGGCGCCAACGTGTTGTTTGAGGGGAGGGGCGGGGGTCACTTCACAGTGCCTTTCCACCCCCTCCCTAACGCCCGCGATGAATCCAACTGTCTGCGGCTCTTAACCTAATGGTGAGCCTTAGGTAGGGTGGAGGCGCTTGAGAGGGTTTCCACCCCCCCTCCCCCACAGAATGCCCTCGCGCCCAAAACAGCATGGTTTGTGCACTTATCAACCTTACAAAGAAGTTGCTTGTGAGATTCACTTTGCCAGATCCTTGAACTAACACCACGAAGGGTTGCAAGGGGTGACGGGGCGGCATCTGCATTAGTGCCTAACTAATTCAACAGGGATTACAGTGTAGCTGATACCGTCACAGTCAGTCAGGGTGGTGCAAGGGGGCGGGATGAGCCCGCCTTCCGCCTTCTTTTCACCACTAAGCTCATTTGCTAGTGATTCAGGAAGATGACAACCAGTGGTGAAACCGCCCCTGCTGATACGTCGAGGCAACTAACTAGAAAATAATCTGCTCGCTATTGTGAAAACGTCTGCCTGCTGAATGGCAGAGGAGACGACGAGTAGTGTCCCTGCTCTGCGTGCGGTCGCGTAGCGGCCAGCCATATGGGTGACTGAACGGCTGAAGCTGATGGCCCTGCCTTACCCTAAGTGTAAGAAACGAGTTCGATCGCATTGTGTTCGCGCGTAATGTGCACCAGTGAAGAGTTTGGGTAAAGTCTTACCGGTAGATTGAATCCGGTCATCCGTCGGCACATTGTCAGCATCACTTTTTGCGTAGCGTTCTCCTCTTTTGACAGTGCCACTTGACAAATCTTGCAGTACGTGTTCAATACCCAGCACAGGTCCAACTGGTCCAGTACGTCGCGTAATGTGTAGCACCTGAAATAAACATGAGTTTCGGCATGTGTGCTCGTGGGAAGGTGACTGGGACAGTTCAAGCTCGGACAAGGGCTGAACGACATAGACGTAAGGAGAGTTCAACGTCTCTATGTTTCCAGTTTATTTCTATCGGTTACAGGTATGCGACGAAACCATAGCAGAGAAATGGCAGTTAAAGGGAGTGGGCGTGATTGCTGGAGGTGGGCGGTTGTTGCCAGCGTCACTAATGTAAATACTGCGATAGGGCGTTTGGCCACACCCCATCTAGCCATCCCATCAATGGCGCTGTCGACAACCGCTTGCCCCTAGCCATCGTGCCCACCGCTTTTGGAAGAACGTTTAGGAGTGCGTGCAGATATCCTTTTCGTCACAGAGCAACTCTGCCTACAGTAGGAGGGTTGTGATACTTTCGACGCTCTAGAGCGCGTGGCAGGCTTACGACCTGAGGCTGTCCACGCCCTGTTAGCGCTGTACACACCCATTGCAAATTGCCGCACGGAGAAAGAAAGCCTCGCTCTTTACAGTGCTCTCTCACCCCTCGATCCGTGATATCTCATGCGCGCTCAGTGTCCTTTCACTACTCGCATCTTGATCGAAACGAACTGTATGAAGGGGAGTCTTATTTATGACAGAGTTCGTCGAAAACCTTATTTTTCAATTCCAGTACTGAGATAATGTAATCAATGAATGTACCAAATAAGAGGGCGTCACTAAAACAACCTACCATTCCCCGAAATTCTTCGCAATCACCATCAAAGTGTCGTCTTTCTGCTCCAAGCTCTCCTCAGTTGACTTCTTGATCAGCGGGAACAGAGTGTTCTTCTTTGCCTCTGAAGAGCTTATAATTATGAAGACGGAAGGACCATGGAAATTTCTAACACTGAACTGACCATGTGTGAAATGCGGTATGCATTGAGCGATGTTATTCATGCAGGCCTCTTTGACCGTGATATCGTCGTCCTTTGTATAACTGCACAAAGCTTGGCAACAATAACGAGACTACATCGCTGGAGTTTCTGCAAAAGATGGATTTCGCTCTCTCAGGGTCGGTACACTCTGGTTCGCTGCGGATGGTGGCTGAGTGGTGCGGCGGCCACTATTCTCCACTAGTGGTTGGAGAGAGGCAAGCGTAAGAACTCTATCACATCAGTCCTTTTTTCACGCGAATGTCGTTTTCCTGCTTCAATAGTTGGTGGAGAAAGGAATTGGCGCCCGTGCCAAACGCAGCCGCACTGACACGCCCCATCATCCGCAGTGAACTGGACTGTACGCGAGTGGTAGTGACACGCCATGGTCCAAGATCATGGTTGCACCAAAAAGCGCGCACATAATTGTGGCTAACCGTTATCGTTGACCTGAAACAGTGCGCGTCCTGGCCTTGAGGGAAATTTTCTGCTAAATACCCCTCCCCTCCCCTTCCTCTTCTCCCCACCACACCCAAAATTTCTCATCCGCTAGTGAATTCCTTATGACCGAGCAACCAGCCTGCCATCTCACCAAGCTTCTCCAGGACTGGCCGTTGAGGGAGTGTGGGGTGGGGGGAATGAGTGGACACCTCCAATCGACTATCACAGTTTTCAGCGTCACCGACTGAGGGTGGGGGGGGGGGGAGGCGCGTGGAAATGAGAAAAATCAATAACCGGAAGGAATTTCCCATTCGTCTCTTTCCTTTGATAAATCTTTTACGTTTAACGTGCCCCGATCGCTGATGTTTGCACATACACTCCATGTCCCGGAGATGGGGAGGGCGCAGCTGCGCGCTTTACTTGAACATGGTTAGAAAGCGATTTTCTTGGCACATTTCAGTCGAGACCACTGCCATCCTTTCTTGAGCTGGACAAAGAGACGATAACAACTCCTAAAACAGGCAATATCGCCTATCAGAAGGCAGCGCTGCACACTCAAACAGAAGTACGCAGCACCAGCCTCCGCATGCGTGAGGATCTGCATCGTCGATATACAGACTGTATAACGTGAAATCACTTCAAGACTACGCCATCACATGAGTACCTGACAGTTCTTACTAGAACTAAATGTAAGTTCAAAACCAACTTGAGCGCTCTCGCGATGACCGGCAGTCGTTGTGCCATTGAAGTGCGAACGTTTGAATTACTGTCTTGACAAAGGATTTGAGCACATGGACCAAGCTCCTTTCGAACTCTGAATGATGGAAATTGCAGGATTTGAAAAAGCAAACTATGAGAATTAAAAGTTACTGCAAAGAATACTGTGCATAATGTAGCTCCTAGATAATTAGAGTAAGCGAACAGCTGATAAGTGCATTGGGGAATAAAGAGCAACATTCAAAGACAGTTCCTAATTTCGCAGATTGGGAACTGTGTCTTCGTCTCTCAGAGAAATTGTGGTATTCCGCATTCTATCCTCTATTTTTCTGTGTGCAGACAAATCCTCGGACGTACAATTCATGGCACGTAGTTGGATGGAAGAGTCCGCCGATGGCTGTTGGTCATAAATTGCACGTAGACGGCTTGCCGATTGAAGCAAGAGAGCTTGGACCTTTTGTCGTGCACTCTGAGTTCTCTCATGCACACGCTTCCTGCAGTCATTATCACCGAAGTCAGTCGGGGCGTGT